AGTTGGTTGTATCTACCCAAAATTAAATGCTTCACCCATATTTATGGCACAAAATTATCGTATCTAGAGTTGTAACTTACCCAAATATTATCTCCAAGATGTAAAGATACATGTCATTTCCAAGTGCCAAATGATTTCCCTCATTTGTGGAGTATAACAACAAAGCAAAACTGAAGAAACAAAACAGCAGTAGACTCACAGACTCCAAGAAGAAACTAGTGTTTACCTTCTTGGAGTTGGGGAAGGGGTTGGGGAGGGGGGGAAAGGAGGGAGGGAGAAGGGCATTAGGGGCATTATGATTAGCACACATAACGTAGGTGGGTCACAGGGAAGGCAGTGTAGCATGAGAAAGACAAGTAATGACTCTATAGCATCTTACTAAACTGAGGGACTTGGTAATATGGTTGAGTGTTAGAACCACAATGTTGCTCATGTGAAACCTTCATAAGATTGTATATCAATGATATCTTAATTTAAAAAAGATACATGTCGTTTCAGTGAAACATTGTTAATCAATGAAAAGTTGAAAGTAATTAAATGCTATAAAGTAGAACTGATTAAGTAAATATTGATATACTTCAAATAATATATTGTGAAAAAAATAATAAGATATGTAAGTGTCAGAACATGGAAAGATACTAGTAGTATATTAAAAAGAAGCAAATTATAGAAACAACCATTCAGTATAATCATACACACACACACACACACACACACACACACACACACACACACACGTAAAACATGTAAGTGCATAAAAATCCAGAAAAAAGCACACATTAAACTGTTGACAACTTCTACCTGGGATGTGGGGAAAAAGAAGGATTGGTGGTGTAGAAAGGGCCTTTTTTGTTTTTTTTCTTTATACTTCTCTATTGCTTGCATTTTTCTATTTTATTAGTTTATATGGTGATAAAATATACCCATTTTAAACAGTGCAATTCAGTATTTTTTGTTTCACAACATTGTGCAACTATTACCAGTATCTAATTCCAGATTATTTTCATCATCCCAAAGAGAAATCATTAGCAGTCACTCCCCATTCTTCCCTCTCCCATCCCCTGCCACCCACTAATCTTATTTCTGCCTCCATGGATTTGTTCTTGGTAGACGTTTTATATAAATGGATTATATAACATGTGGCTTTTTATGTTTGTCTTCTATCATTTAGCATATATTTTCAAAGTTCATGTTGTAGCATCTATCAATGTTTCATTTCTTTTTATTTGAAAAATAAAATTCCATTGTATGGATATATTTTTTTATCCATTTATCTATTCATTAGCTGATGGATCTTTGGATTGTTCTCACACTTGGATGATTATGAATAATGCCATCATGAATGTTCATGTTCAAGTTTCTGTGTGAACATATGTTTTCAATTTCTGAGAATGTATCTAGGAGTGGAATTGCTGGGTTGTATGGTAGCTCTATATTTAATATCAAAGAACCATCAACCTGTCACCAAACTGATGGCACCATTTTGTACTCCCACCAGGGTCCAATATCTCCACATCCTCCTCAACAACTGTTATTTTTTGTGGGCTTTTTTTTGTTTGGGTTTTTAATTGTAGCTATCCTACTAGATGTGAACTGGTACTTCATTGTGGTGCTTATTTGCTTTTCCCTAATAACTAACATTGAGCATATTTTCATGTGTTTATTGGCCATTTGTATATCTTTTTTTGGAAGAAGGTCCAGTCAAGTACTTCGTACATTTTTAGATTTTAATGTGGTAAAACACATAGTGACATAAAATTTACCAACTTAACCATATTTAAGAGTTCAATTTTGTGCTATTAAGTGCACCCACATTGTGCTACCATCACCATTATTGAGCTATGCAGCTCTTTTCATCTTGCAAAGTCAAAACTCTGTACCCACTAAATATTTCGCTTTCCTCTTTCTTCCCAACCTCTGGCAAGTGGATCACATTTTTTTTATCCATTCATTTGTTGAGGGACACTTGATTTCCTTCCACATTTTGGCTACTGTGAATAATGCTGCTTTGAACATGGGTGTGTACATACACAGAAGTGGAATTGCTAGATCACATGATTATTGTATTTTTAACATTTTTGAGGAACCACTATACTGTTTCCGTAGCAGTGGTACCATTTTACATTCCCATAAACAGTGCACAAGGGTTACAATTTCTCCACATCCTCATTAATACTTGTTCTTTTCTGTGTTTGATTGCTTGTTTATAGTAGCCATCCTAAAGAGTGTGAGGTGACAGCTTGTGGTTTTGATTTTCACATCCCTAACAATTAGTGAGGAGCATTCTTTCGTGTGTTTATTGGCCATTTGTATGTCTTCTTTAGAGAAATGTCTGTTCAAGTCCTTTGCCCATCTTTTAATTGGGTTGTTTTTGTTTTTCTTGTAGAGTTGAAGATGTTCTTTATATATCCTCAATATTAACTCACCTCTTAATGGATATATGATTTTTACATGTTTCCTCCAATTCTGTGCATTGCCTTTTCACTCTGCTGTGAATAGAGGTTTTTAATTTTGATGTAACCCAATTTATCTATTTTTATTCTATTTTCCCTTTTATGCCTGTGCCTTTTGCACATTTTTAATTGGATTATTTGTCCTTTTGTTCTTGAATTATAAGAGCTCTTTACAGATTCTGAGTAGTAAAACCCTTATCAGATATATGATTTACAAATACTTTATTGCATTCTGTGATTTGTCACTACATATTCATGATAGAATCATTCAGTACACAAAAACTTTAAATTATGATGAAGCACATCCATTCTTATTCGTTTGGTTGTGCTTTGGACATCATAGCTAAGTAGTGATTGCATATTCCAAGGTCATGGAAACTACCTGTTTCCTCCTAAGAGTTTTATAGTTTTCACTCTTCCATTTAGGTATTTGATTTATTAGTAGTTAATTTTTCATCTGATGTGAAATAGGGATCTAACTTTACTCTTTTGCATGTAAACATCTAGTTGTCTCGGCAGCATTTGTTGAAAAGGCTATATTTTCCTCCAACACATGCCAAATAACATTGACATTCTTGTCAAAGCTCAATTGACCATAAATGAGAGGGTCTGCCTATATAAAATATTTGACTTCCCACCTTTCACTTCATGCATCAGCAATACTAGACTGATGACTGTGACCAGACACAGAACACAGCTTCATTCCTCATGCCTGATGGCTGTTGCTCCTTTACCAAAGTGCCCGCTTTCTGACCCATCTCAAACAAGAAACAATTGCTCTCATCCATTTCCTTGATACACATTGAAAAAATGCGCATCTCATATTTAGAGATGAGAAAATATGTCAACACACATATACCACTCATGAACATATATACCTGCATTTCTACCATTTAACTAAATGTCCAGGAAATTTAATAAAAGGAGAAGGTAGAAATAAAGTTATTTTTCAAAATTTTTTCAAGGCTGATGCTGTCCATGTTTCCAAATGCCATTATCTGCAGGTAATCTCCCTTCCTAAAATAAATTCAGGAACCAGCTATGTCTCTGTCCTTCTCTGACATTTGAGTTGGCCAAGGAACAATAAGGGGGACAGCCATTATATACCAGTTCAAGAACGATCAGGAAGATTCAGGATGAAATCAGGAAGATCAGGAAGACACAGGAGATTGGCAGTGTCATCAAACTAAGGATTGTGACCAATAATGTAGTAGAGAACTTCCAGGACAAACTGCCAGATGATGGGAGCAATTTTACCCAAAAGCTGGGGATGCAGAAACACTTGTGTTCATACCGAATGATTTTTGGCTTTATCTGCTTCCCTGCCCCCAGTTTTGTCCACCTGATGCTTTCTAGCAATTAATATAGATCCTCTCTCACCATCCCCAGTCCACCTTTTTCATTTCCATCCTCTGCTCACTCCCATGGGAGTTTATTTTTCCTATGTTCTCCTATTGTCTATCCTATATTACTCTTCAAAAACCTGTTTTGGGAAACAAGCTAATTAACTATAATGTCATATTGATTGGTAAGCTTAGTGTGATAGCTTCCCTGGGTATTTGTATTTTAACAGAAGACATGGGACTTACAACAAAAAAATATATCCCTAACTGTGGCATTTCCAGTATTATCAAGCAGAAAAAGGATATGGTTTTCATGAAGAGCAAGCATTCCTAGTGAGTCTCCATCCACCTGGTGACCAGCTTCTCTGCCTTCATCTAAGGCTAATACTGCCCATGTTTCCAAATGCCATAACCTGCAGGTAATCTCCCTTCCTAAAATAAATTCAGGAACCAGCTATGTCTCTGTCCTTCTCTGACATTTGAGGACTGGAACATTCTAAAAGGAGTCTATGCCCTCTAGCTCCAAATACCAAATGTCTAAAAACAAAAACAAATTCTAACAGCCTATGGCAAAATGTGTGTGTGTGTGTGTGTGTGTGTGTGTGTGTGTGTGTGTGTGTAAAATAATTGCAAAGCCAAACAAACTAAAACATTTTTACCTGGTGGTACCCATTCTGTTAATCAAATCTCATCTAAAATAGTGCATCCAGAACCCCAGGCAAAGGGAAGGAATTTAAACTCAGTTGTGATTCAGAATCAAAGAATAAATAAAAGCATGCATTTGTGGCATAAAGAGAAAGCCAGGGGACAGGATGTGGCTGCAAAAGGATTACTTCCCCTTCAAGCCACTGGTTTCATCTTAAGAAAAGATGAAGAGGTCATTTTCATCTGAAGGACAAGTTGAAAGGATTCTTGAACTTAAATAGCTACAGAAGTACTCACAACCTAGGAATCTGTTATTTGGTGTTAGCATGGTAATATCAGGCTTATAGACAATCCACAACATGAGAAAGTATGTTAATAATCTAATTACCTTTCCATTGCATTTGACAACTCTGTGATTACCACAGCAAATAATAATGAAAAAATATATTTCTAGAAGATTTGTGTTAAGCTTCAGGCAGTAAGTAAAAGGGGTTATAGAATGAAAATAACTCTAAGGAATAAATATCTAGTTTATAGTTTGAACATGTGTGTGACTTACTAAAATCTGAAGAATGGAGGATGCAGAGGGAGCAGATCAGGGATCCGGGTGGAGGTGGGAAGAGGAAAATCCTGTCTTGGACATGTTTGGTTTCAGGCACCTACAAGAAATTCAAAGAGAGGTCAAATACACAGTTGCCTATACAAATCTGGAATGCTGTCAAAATTTGTCAAAGATATAAACATATTATTATCAGATATAAATAATATGAAATTCACGGAGAAAAGTGGACAAAGACAAGGACCCCAGGCAAAGGTCTGGGATTTTATGGCTGTGTACACATGAAGGGCAAAGTGAAGGGGCAGCAAATCCTAGTGTGCTTGAAAGGGGGCTCAGCCTCCTGCAAATCAATAGATTGATCACCTGGCATCTCGACAACATTTATAACTTTGATGCAACCTTGGGGACAGTAGGATGTTGACAAAGGTGACAAAGGACAGGTACTGTGCTGCACAGTCTGAAAACTCAAATTTCTCTTGTTAGTTTCAAGGACTGGCTGGCTCAGTGGAGAAGTCTGGTGGGCTACAAGAACCACAAAGATTCCAAAAGTCTTGTTGATTTAATGTCAAAATAATTCTCTGCAACCTTCCTAGAGATATGGCTTAACTTTGTGGAACATCCATGTGAAGGTGGACAATGAATCCTGTCCACATTTAATCATGAAAAAGGGGTGACGAATGATGGTGTGAGAAGGGGGCAAGCAGGCAAGGGCCACAGGCCGGAGCCTCAGATGCTTGGGAATAAAGCAAGCAGGCCTTTTGTTCCACCCCTGTGGTGTCCCCCTCCCTCTCTTCACAGGGGCACGTGACAGGGGCGAGAGTCTTGGGTTTGACAGGGTGCCGTGTTCAGTGCTCTTAGAGCCAATCCCTGCAGCAGCTGAACACAATTTCTTAGTGGAAACACTATTCTTTTCTGCACATTGAATCAGCATCTAATTTAAAACCAATGTTTGTTTAGTTCTGATTCAACTATTATGGTTCCACATGAAGCTTGAGACATAAGGAGTAAATGGTCTGTTGCAATGACAAAATGACTAACAGCAAAAAAAAATCTATTACTAACACAAGTAGTGGTCCAGGCAGTGGAAGACGTTTTGCAGATTGGATTTACATTTAACACATTTCAATCTGATAAATTTTTAAACTTACTGCTGAGAATGGTTCCAGTCAGAAGGGCAGGAATTTTAAAAACACACACACAAATAGCATTTGGCAAATGGATTATCAACTGGAGTGCAGACCTTTTGTAACAGATCAGAACATATGGAATATCAGTTTCCCAGAGCAGTCTTTTCATGGTAAAATTGGCCAAGTACTTTCAAGCTATAGCCAAATGTAGGATGTCTATGCCAATTTGTAAATATTGTTGAAATTATACTGTTGGAAGGGAGGCTTCTAAAACTACTGCCATGTCAAAAGATGAAAGTATTCCTAGTGATTGAAAGGAAGATATCATTGTAGAAGCAAACTTAAAAATTATAAAAGGACTCCAGTGGCAATTTAACGTTTAACACATTGCAAATTCTGGTGCTGTCTTTGCGAGCTGGTTTTCGAACACTTTCAGTTGGCATGTTTGGGGATATAGTATGGGACTGAGAAATTTTAATGGTTTGAGATTTTTGGAGTTGTTGGGATAGAGTGAATACATTTTACATGTGGGATAAACATGGATGTTTGGGTGCCACAGGATGGACCACGTAGACAGAATAATGGCTCCACGGAGACATTCCAGCCCCTAGAAGCTGGAAAAGGCAAAGAACAGATCTTCTCCTAGAATCTCCAGAAAGAATGTAACCCTGCTGACACCTTGATTTTAGGACTTCTGTTTGTTGTGCCCAAAGTCATGAATCCCAGAAGACCACCAAGGAGCCAACACCGATGCAAAAGCAAAGAGCCTTTATTACCTGTCACCAAACTGATGGCACCATTTTGTACTCCCACCAGGGTCCAATATCTCCACATCCTCCTCAACAACTGTTATTTTTTGTGGGCTTTTTTTTGTTTGGGTTTTTAATTGTAGCTATCCTACTAGATGTGAACTGGTACTTCATTGTGGTGCTTATTTGCTTTTCCCTAATAACTAACATTGAGCATATTTTCATGTGTTTATTGGCCATTTGTATATCTTTTTTTGGAAGAAGGTCCAGTCAAGTACTTCGTACATTTTTAGATTTTAATGTGGTAAAACACATAGTGACATAAAATTTACCAACTTAACCATATTTAAGAGTTCAATTTTGTGCTATTAAGTGCACCCACATTGTGCTACCATCACCATTATTGAGCTATGCAGCTCTTTTCATCTTGCAAAGTCAAAACTCTGTACCCACTAAATATTTCGCTTTCCTCTTTCTTCCCAACCTCTGGCAAGTGGATCACATTTTTTTTATCCATTCATTTGTTGAGGGACACTTGATTTCCTTCCACATTTTGGCTACTGTGAATAATGCTGCTTTGAACATGGGTGTGTACATACACAGAAGTGGAATTGCTAGATCACATGATTATTGTATTTTTAACATTTTTGAGGAACCACTATACTGTTTCCGTAGCAGTGGTACCATTTTACATTCCCATAAACAGTGCACAAGGGTTACAATTTCTCCACATCCTCATTAATACTTGTTCTTTTCTGTGTTTGATTGCTTGTTTATAGTAGCCATCCTAAAGAGTGTGAGGTGACAGCTTGTGGTTTTGATTTTCACATCCCTAACAATTAGTGAGGAGCATTCTTTCGTGTGTTTATTGGCCATTTGTATGTCTTCTTTAGAGAAATGTCTGTTCAAGTCCTTTGCCCATCTTTTAATTGGGTTGTTTTTGTTTTTCTTGTAGAGTTGAAGATGTTCTTTATATATCCTCAATATTAACTCACCTCTTAATGGATATATGATTTTTACATGTTTCCTCCAATTCTGTGCATTGCCTTTTCACTCTGCTGTGAATAGAGGTTTTTAATTTTGATGTAACCCAATTTATCTATTTTTATTCTATTTTCCCTTTTATGCCTGTGCCTTTTGCACATTTTTAATTGGATTATTTGTCCTTTTGTTCTTGAATTATAAGAGCTCTTTACAGATTCTGAGTAGTAAAACCCTTATCAGATATATGATTTACAAATACTTTATTGCATTCTGTGATTTGTCACTACATATTCATGATAGAATCATTCAGTACACAAAAACTTTAAATTATGATGAAGCACATCCATTCTTATTCGTTTGGTTGTGCTTTGGACATCATAGCTAAGTAGTGATTGCATATTCCAAGGTCATGGAAACTACCTGTTTCCTCCTAAGAGTTTTATAGTTTTCACTCTTCCATTTAGGTATTTGATTTATTAGTAGTTAATTTTTCATCTGATGTGAAATAGGGATCTAACTTTACTCTTTTGCATGTAAACATCTAGTTGTCTCGGCAGCATTTGTTGAAAAGGCTATATTTTCCTCCAACACATGCCAAATAACATTGACATTCTTGTCAAAGCTCAATTGACCATAAATGAGAGGGTCTGCCTATATAAAATATTTGACTTCCCACCTTTCACTTCATGCATCAGCAATACTAGACTGATGACTGTGACCAGACACAGAACACAGCTTCATTCCTCATGCCTGATGGCTGTTGCTCCTTTACCAAAGTGCCCGCTTTCTGACCCATCTCAAACAAGAAACAATTGCTCTCATCCATTTCCTTGATACACATTGAAAAAATGCGCATCTCATATTTAGAGATGAGAAAATATGTCAACACACATATACCACTCATGAACATATATACCTGCATTTCTACCATTTAACTAAATGTCCAGGAAATTTAATAAAAGGAGAAGGTAGAAATAAAGTTATTTTTCAAAATTTTTTCAAGGCTGATGCTGTCCATGTTTCCAAATGCCATTATCTGCAGGTAATCTCCCTTCCTAAAATAAATTCAGGAACCAGCTATGTCTCTGTCCTTCTCTGACATTTGAGTTGGCCAAGGAACAATAAGGGGGACAGCCATTATATACCAGTTCAAGAACGATCAGGAAGATTCAGGATGAAATCAGGAAGATCAGGAAGACACAGGAGATTGGCAGTGTCATCAAACTAAGGATTGTGACCAATAATGTAGTAGAGAACTTCCAGGACAAACTGCCAGATGATGGGAGCAATTTTACCCAAAAGCTGGGGATGCAGAAACACTTGTGTTCATACCGAATGATTTTTGGCTTTATCTGCTTCCCTGCCCCCAGTTTTGTCCACCTGATGCTTTCTAGCAATTAATATAGATCCTCTCTCACCATCCCCAGTCCACCTTTTTCATTTCCATCCTCTGCTCACTCCCATGGGAGTTTATTTTTCCTATGTTCTCCTATTGTCTATCCTATATTACTCTTCAAAAACCTGTTTTGGGAAACAAGCTAATTAACTATAATGTCATATTGATTGGTAAGCTTAGTGTGATAGCTTCCCTGGGTATTTGTATTTTAACAGAAGACATGGGACTTACAACAAAAAAATATATCCCTAACTGTGGCATTTCCAGTATTATCAAGCAGAAAAAGGATATGGTTTTCATGAAGAGCAAGCATTCCTAGTGAGTCTCCATCCACCTGGTGACCAGCTTCTCTGCCTTCATCTAAGGCTAATACTGCCCATGTTTCCAAATGCCATAACCTGCAGGTAATCTCCCTTCCTAAAATAAATTCAGGAACCAGCTATGTCTCTGTCCTTCTCTGACATTTGAGGACTGGAACATTCTAAAAGGAGTCTATGCCCTCTAGCTCCAAATACCAAATGTCTAAAAACAAAAACAAATTCTAACAGCCTATGGCAAAATGTGTGTGTGTGTGTGTGTGTGTGTGTGTGTGTGTGTGTGTGTGTAAAATAATTGCAAAGCCAAACAAACTAAAACATTTTTACCTGGTGGTACCCATTCTGTTAATCAAATCTCATCTAAAATAGTGCATCCAGAACCCCAGGCAAAGGGAAGGAATTTAAACTCAGTTGTGATTCAGAATCAAAGAATAAATAAAAGCATGCATTTGTGGCATAAAGAGAAAGCCAGGGGACAGGATGTGGCTGCAAAAGGATTACTTCCCCTTCAAGCCACTGGTTTCATCTTAAGAAAAG